TAGATCAAGACATGATTATGACAGATGAGACCAGAAGCCCGGGTTTTCCAATGGTGAATCAAGCACTTCTTTCGCGGTTTCTTCATTTCTGGGAGGAACCTACACCCTAAAAGTCTAAAGAGCGAAATTCGCAGAGAATTATCCCGAAGTATTTAAAAAAGGGGCTTCACGGTGGTACCGGGACGATCAGACAATAGTTGAGGGCAGGTGATCACTCTCAACGTCATTGGTGGAAGAGCTGCGTGAGGGCGTTTGGCCACACCCCACTCAGCCCCTCCACGAATGTCCACCATTGACGAGGGCAGTAACCGCCCGCCCTACGCATCGTGCCCACTGACTTCCAAAAAAAATCTGGGTGTATAAATGAACAACAACGCTAAAAATTGCATAACTTCACATGGTTTTTGCTACGCCCACACTATGAGTGGCCAGCGCGCTGTAATGAAAACCCAAGCTTGAGAGCCCTGACAGTCTCCCGAAACTGCTGCAACAGGAGGCAAGATGTAGTGTGAATGGGGAAGAAGTGTGATAGTAGCAGAGAGATGGAGAGATAAGAAGAGGTGCTACCAACAGGTCGGAGTAGAAGGAAGTTCCTAAAGGAACCGAAGAAAGCAAGCAAAAAAGCAAATAGGAGCCACAGTGCAACTCACCACTGATTGACGTTGCTCTAGTATCGGATAGAAGGCACCCAACTGAAAAAAAGAATTTAAAGAGGCAAAGCCACGACAGCTTCTCGCTTGCGGTTTATGAAAGTGAAGAATTGTACAGAGAAAGATCTCAAATCTCTGAAGAGCACCTACCATAACTTCCTTCCAACCGTTGTTCACTTTAATATAGAGCTGTTGAGTGGCGGTGGCAAATGCCAGCGTACCAATAAGTACACGAGATGAGAACAGCTCGTGAGTACTTGGATAAACTCGGACGATCGCTGAAACCACGGGTTTTTTCGGTGTTTTTATACTTACAAGATGAGCGGATTCAGAGTACTGGCAAGTAGCGACGTTTTCCACGCACGCAGCCCACAAATCAGATCTGACAATCGTCCATGGAGCAACTGAACCTTCTCTCCTTTTGGGGCCGACT